TAAAAGTAGATGGTTTATCTTTTTTAAATTGAAAAATGATTTTGTGAGTGATTAATTTATTAAGATGACAATTATTTATCATCAAATAATTCAAGTGAAAAAATAGCAAATATCACAACAAAATTGTTCTTCTCATAGCTAGTTAGAATGTTATAAAAAAAATATTGTTCGATAATTATCTACCTTACAAATTACATAATAATTCAAGGATATAATTGGAAATAAGCTTTTTATAGAGTTTTAATCCAAACACAAGATGAGGTTGGAAAAAATGAGTCAAACACTTGATAAAAATAAACTCTGCATTACTAATTCCTGCATTAGTGTATAATCCCAGCATTACTAATCTCTGTGTTATTAATTTTTGTACCAAACGACCCCTAAAGTTATTATATTCAAAGAATGATATAGTAAAATTATCATTCTACTAGTAAACTGAACCGCGCTTCGCGCGGTATATTATATTACTTAGAGTCGAGACTTGTTCCTTGCTAAATAAAATAATTAAGGAAAAAAAATCTTAACATTAAATTGACACCAAGAGAAATCAAATTTTTTTTAAATGATATAATAATGGTGTAATATTTAAAAAAAGGTTAAAAATTGAAATTAGCATACCAAAGCTTTTAATAAAGCATTATGCTCTCTCCTAATTAACATCCATTCAAACACAATGTCATTTATGAAAGAAATTTTTTATTATTTAAAATAAGTCAAAAAAACTAAATGGAATATATTGTTATGAAATTATAGAATAAGAAGAAGAAAGTAGAGAGAAGAGAAGACTTATTATTTCTCTTGAGGAATGATATTACATTGAAGAGGACTCCTCTATTTATAGGGAAAATCTAACTTGATCCCCAAATAGGATTCCTAACCATATCCTAAAAGGACTCCACATAATAGACATTCACTATAATACAAATACTTTATAACATATATAAAGTATTCACAATTTATTAATCAAAATTCATACGCATAAAGAAATAGTGAATAACCTTATTTTGATAACCCGTAATAATCATATACAAAATTTCATTATCGACAACTAATTAAAATTCATTAAAAGAAGGTCCTATATTTCCATAAAACATTCATGATTCAAATAATTTCAAATAATTATAACTATCATCAAAAAAATAAAATTCTCAACCTAAATAACTTATGGAGAAAGTACATTTAATTTTCAAATTTCTTTTTAATTTTCAAATACAAATATTTCAAGTTTTAATTATTCACATTTAATTTACGTTCATACATTCCTATATAAATTTTCATCACTTAGGAGTTTTAAATCTTTTAAAGTACTTGATTTTCGTATACTTTTATTTTTGTTTAAAACAAAGTAAAGAAAAAAAATAGCAATTCAAGAAAAAATTAATTCTCTCTGTATATATTTCCAAAAATTATGATGTTTCTTTGTATATCTTTAATAAATCTAATTACATGTACATTTTTTTAATACTTTTTGTCTTTATTTTTTCCTCACCCTTCTTCACTTTTTTCTTCTACCCGTTCCTTTTCTTTAAAAAATTGTCAAATATATGTTCTTACTTCTTTTTTTGCAACTTCTTAATAATAAAGATAAGTAATCAAAAGATAATATTATATAATTTCAACATAAGAAAATAAAACAAACTATTAAAATAGCACATAAAATATATTATAGAATATGAAGAGGTATAATTTTATTTAATTTTTTTTTTTTTTATGACAAGGGAAACCCGCACCCGCTACCCTTTGGGTGCGCACAGGGTAAAACCCCCGCTCCTATGCAATAGCTCACAAACCACATAGGAGAGGTAACCCGCACTAGGCAAGCCTGGTGCGACGAGCTCGACCCAGAAAGCAAACTCCTTGCTTTACACCATAAGTCCACTTATGCTTCCATTAATTAAAATTAGAACTTCAACTCCTCTTTTAGGAAAGTTCAAATTCCATTACTTTACTAATAGAAGATAGTAGTTGGAGTAAAAAGCTAAATCATCTGCATCAAACAAGAAATATAAGTTAGATTGTGTCTATACTTTTAAATAATTGAATATCATAAGCAGTTTTTAAATTCCAAATGATCTAATAATAAAAAAACAGCACAATAAAATAAATAGAAGCAGAAAAATATTTTTTTCAATTTAAAGGATAAATATAATGACCTTTTAAAAATTATATTCAACACCACACACTTCTTGATGCAGATGCCATAATCTGAAAAATTTAGCAAATGTCAAGTAAAAAGTACTCATATATGGAATTCAAAAGTGTAATCTATTCACAGACAAATTTTGTCAGTATAGAAATGAATATATTTAGATATGCTAGGAAGATGACACATTACAAATAAGCCCAACTTAATATAATCCACACTAAATAGCAATAAGAATTGTTGTGGTGAGGTAGAGCTTTTGTCTTTTTATATCCTAACTTTGACATGGTAATGCACATTAAAACTGGAGAAATTGAAAAGCCAAAGGTCTAGCTACGTGGGTGAAGCAATTACTTGGGCTTTATTGGAAATTATTATTATGTGGGCTTACTGTTTTTTTTTTTGTTAAAGGCTTTAATAACATAACTGTTAGGCATTAACATTACCGTTAGTAAACATTTCTTTTGTTAGGTTTTTCTTAAACTATTTAATTAGTACAATATTATGGATTAAAAAAATGAAAAAAATGAGACAAAAATAAATAGGAATGCTGGTCATAGAGAGGTGTCACATCACCTTCTCTATATTACCCGGGAGAGCAAATGGCCAAATCCATTCTAAGAAATGGATTTCTGAATATTACCCAGAAAATGATGCATGATTTTGTTTCCAATCAAAATATCATACCTAACCCAATCTATCAAATAGGCAAAGACCAAAGTTCAAATCACCAAAGCCCATCAGAGTACCCACAAGAAAAATACTTGTAGCAACCATTTTGTCCACTTGACTATGCCTATCGAGGCTTAGATAGACGAGAATAGTCTGTACTCACATTGTTGTGGTATACACAAAACAGAGGTTGTCCTCTCCCTGCCACTGGCAGATCCAGGGGGTTCGAAAAAATATATATAAATGTGTGAACTAGAGTGCAAAGTGCAAACACCAAAAAGAGATCACTGCCAATACTTCTCGAGCACATTTACAATACCACTCGACGAGTCCTGCAAGGTTGCACAGTATAGTACCACCGGGCTATCTCTCCCATTTGATTTAGGTGGTTCAGAAACAGTATGTGCACAAAAATATAGAAAATCTACCTTGCATATACCGTGTAATTTTTTCCGAAGAGGTTCAGGTGAACCCCTGGTGCCCACATAGGTCCTCCCCTGCTCCCCACCCAATAGTTCTGCAACTACTCATAGACACATCCTAAAATACTTCATTGGGAAACATCTGCCGTCCCATGTTAGGATACAACATTTGCACCTGTAATCCATGCAAATGGTATTTGCAGAAATCATTAATCCTCTGTTTCCTCAGAATAAAAACAAATAATTTAGCTCCAACTTAAAAAGAAATCACTTTCACATCTAAATGGACAATCAATTACATAAGCCATCTAAAAGTATGGACAAACAAGCATATCAATTGCTAATGCAAAATACTCGGAAAATTAATGATAATCCAACCCAACATAGATTAATTTGGAAATATTCCACTTCTAAGCAGTAACTTTACTCTATGAATGTTCAATGCAAAGTCATCATGAACCATAGATGGATTTCAGAAGAAGAGAGTAGCAACCTTTACGGGTTCAAAAAAAAAAAAAAAAGGGGGGGAGGGGGGGAGGCTCACAACACAGCAGTCTCCAGAACAAGAAATAGCTAATCCATACATATAAAACAGTCCGCAGTTCCACACATCTGAATTTTGTGTTCTAATATTGTGTCTGTCTCAATTAAGATTGATATTTTAAAAAGAGGAGTTACAATATTAAAGGATGGTTTTGCTGCATCAGGTGCCTCAAACCATCATAACTGGTGAAATCAGAACCAGAGGAATTTCGTGTTTTGGGTCTTTCTTGTGAGGTGGAGAAATAAGTCCATCAGAATCTAATCACACAATGACCAGCTGACCACCACATAAACATCAAGATCAACGAGAATTAAAGAAATGGTACTAGTGAAATAGGAAGTGCTACATTTATCAAGACTTGGCAAACTTATCATGACACCAGAGAGGGGACCACAAAAATTTCGAAGTGTCAAGTCTGTTTCAAGGATGCAAGAATACCATGTGCAGGCATAAGAGAAATGAGTAAGGAAATTTGTGGACTTGTAACAACTTCATATTACTAAAAAGTGTCTAATAGAAACTTCAGAAATGGATAAATAGAGATATTTTAATAACAGAGACACAAGTATCTCATATCTCTTAGAACAATCTGTCTGCATACAATAGATGATTACAACTACTCTGTAGAGTTACTAAAATGCATTATTTATATAGCAGGATGACCTACAAGCTACAACTACTTAACATTTATGATAAGAACATATATCTTCTGGTAACTGTTAGAAACTGCCTAGCAGATAACTCTAGTAGCTTATAAGAAATTGCTCAATCGTCCAGTTCGTCTATATTTCTTTGCCTCTCCTCTTTGCATAAGCCTCATATACATTGTGTACTTCAGTCGCATACACTTTTTTACAGTTGCAAATACAAAACACGCTTTTTATGTGAAAATTGTGATTACTCTTTGAATTGTGTCTACTACAGGCAACAAAGGGAAATACATTCAACAATCAAGGAAACTGTAGTATCTTTGGTTTCTACTTTCTAACAAATAAATATGTTTACCAGATCAATTTTCCTCTGAAAGCTAACTCAGTGTACTTATCCAGAAGTATAACATGAATGAGTTAAACAAAATATCTGCAAAAACCTTTGAACTCATTAGTCCAGCAGCATTAGAGAGAAATGACCTTAGCATTAAACAATCAACCAAGACTGTTAGCAATATGGACAAGAGAGAAGGAAAAAAAGCAATGAAGCAACAAAAGATTTAGCCCATTAGAATTGAACATTTGCATATCTTCAAAAGCACTACAAAACTCCAAGTAAAAGATCTATATTAGCTTTCAAAAATAAATGGCACAACAAATGTTAGCGCCAAGTGCTAACTCACATCTTTATGACAAACAAAAAAATTCAATCATGTAAAGTTCCTCAACAGTTATAAAGCTGGCTACTGCTTACAGCTATATCTCAAACAAAAATCATTACTAAGCAACATTAGACTTGATATCACTGATGTCGACTTTAGCCAAACCAAGCTCATCCTCTAACTTGGTCCAAACTTTCACCACATTAGCAGGGAACTTCTTCTTCATTGTCCTGATCATTTCTTTTGCTTCTTTCGCCTTTGAACTCTTCGCCAAACCATGCACCAAGTACTTGAGTGTATTGACATCCGGAATCTTGTTTGCTCTCACACTCTCCCCGAATATTTTATACCCTGTCTCAAACAGTTCATTCTTACACAAATAGAATATCAAAGTTCTAAAAGTTGAAGCATTTGGATTGCACCCCTTTGTCTCCAAATCCTCATAAACTTTCTCAGCTTCATCCATCATCCCATTCCTACAGTAACAAGACATCAAGTAATTGTAACTGATCGTGTCGGGTTTTAAGCCCACATTGCTCATTTCCTCAATTAAACCCTTCACTCCCTCAGGATCACCACCCTGAATGTTCATAATCTTTACATTGTAAGCACCAACATCCGGACCGCAACCTCTCTTCACCATCTCATTCCAAACCTTCTCAGCCTCATCACTCCTTCCTCCCTTATACAAGGAGTGCAATATGGTTGTGAAAGTAACAGCTGTAATTTCAACACCTTTCTCTTCCATCTCCTTAAGTTTCTTCATTGCCAATTCAGGCTTCCCCATTTCACAGTAAGACCTAATCAATACACCATACGAAACTTTATCAGGTAAGAATCCATGCTTCTTTGGCATTTCATCAAACAGCTGGGGAACACGATCATATAATTTGGAGTTCACACAAGCTGAAAGAAGCACGTTGAACGAAACTGCTGATCTAGGGGTACCTATATCGTCCATTTGAAGATAAGTTTTAAGCGCCTGATCAAACATTCCAGCTAATCCATACGAACGAATTATAGAGGAAAGGAAGGGTTCCTGGGTAATTTTTTTGTCATCCTTGTGAGACTCGAGGAAGGCTTCGATGTCGGAGAAACGATGGGACTTAGCGAGGCGTTTGACTGTGTATTCTTGTGCATAACGGGAGGATAAAGGAGAAGTGTAATGGTTAGAAACAGAGGAGTAAATTTTTAGGGCTTTGTCTGGATCGTGCTCAGACTTGAGCTTGGATTTTGCTTTGGAGATAGAGATGGTTGCGCCGGATGTTGAAGAAGCAGCGGCAGTGGCAGTGGCAGTGGTGGCGGCGGCGGCGGCTGCCGAGGTTGAGAGGTGGCGCGCCAGGCGCAGGGAAATGGAAGAAGACATTAGGGTTTTAGCCGGTTTTGGGTGTACAGTGAAAGTAAGGTTTTAGGAGGCGGAGGTTACTGGGGTTTTCAAGGAAATGAGAATCTTGAAGCACATTCTAGAGTGAGTTCAAAAATTAGGAATATCGTTTTTCTTCTTTAATACTATGTTCGAACCATTTTACTTGTCATGATTTCTTCGAAAAACTTATAAAAATGACTATAGTTTAAAATTATAGAAAAAAGACATAAAGTCACTACTAAAATTGTCCCGTATTTTCATAAAGACACCTTAACTTTGAAAGTGTCTTATCACTCCACAACTTTTTAGTATCTTTGTAAATAGGTCATTTTGACTGACCCATTCCCTCGTCTCGTCTGAATTGTCGCGCGTGATGCTCACTCTTGTAATATTGGTTCAACCTGACCCGACCCTATTCTTTTCAAGAAAAGTCTTCTCTTTTCTTTTGTTATTTCTCAACTTTCCCTAAAATCACAAAATACAGAAAAGTCGTCTCGTTTTCTCTTGGTGTTGATAATCTCGTTGTTGATGTTTCTTGGTGAAGATTCTTGGAGGGACAAATAATTGAAGGTCTAACAGGTTAGGGCTCTACATTATATGATAAAGATCTTCTTTTTTCGATTAAACTATAAAAAACTTCAAATCAACGCTTTTTATTAGAAATTAAAAGATATAACAAATTCTTACCTTATTGCGCTTGGGGAAGATGATGAACTCATCAAAGAGAGAGTACCAACGTTGATCTTGCTTTGAAAAAAAAATGAAATCGTAAATTTAGGGCTACCAACGGCTCTTTTGAGTTTAAATTTGGGGAAGAAGATGTAAATTAATTAAATAATTAATAAAAAAAATAAAGCGACACGTGGCACTTTTAAACTGGTTAATGGCAGTGTAAACACTGCATCACGCGCCTCATGTGCGTGGTAACAATCCAGACGAGGAAATGGGTCAAAATGACCCATTAACAAAGATATTAAAAACTTCTGTGGGGTGATAGGACACTTCCAAAGTTAAGTTGTCTTTATGCAAATACGGGACAACTTCAGTGGTGACTTTATGTCTTTTCTCCAATTTATATTTATAATAAGAGTATTTATCATTTATAACACAGTTTAAAAAAGAAGAAGGACAAGAGGCGAGCGAGATTTGAGAGAGAAATGAGAGATTTTAGATACATGTTGTATTTGATGAATACAAATTATATTGATGAATATAGTTTGTTATGTATAGAATGATATAAATTGTATTTGTACCTAGATTCTAATATATGTATCACTTGTATTATTTGCTCCCGTACCACGTATTTTCATTTGCGATACATAAATACATATTGTATTTGACATATATAGACTGATATAGATTCATACAAGATTTTATATATATATATATATATATATATATATATATATATATATATATATTTTGGTTTCCCACCCGGTGTACGGAGTCCACATTAGAGCTCCGACTAAATTCGGATCGCGCTCTGCAGAGCCTATTTGAGGGTGGCGCTCCCAAGAGGATTTTATCCATACCCAGAGCTCGAACCCAAAACCTCTGATTAAGGGTGAAACACACCCACCAGTGCACCACAACCCATGTTGGTATGCAAGATTATATATTGATACAATCATTAGAGTGATGTAGTTCATTATGTATTTATTTCATGTATTCGATATAATACAATTGACACAATTGAATGAATTTTATGTCTTTACTATGGAGTGACAAGAGAGAGAAGAGAGACGAACGATATTTGGATATAGATTTTTACTTTTTGGAAAATCTGAGATTTAAAATACTGATTTGAAATTGAATATAAATTTTACAAACAAACATTGATTTCACATCAAAATGTAACATTGAAATTTCAAATTCTATCTTCAAACATCTACTTAATTGAATATTAGTAAAAACAAATTGAAAATTTGAGGTGCGAAATAAGTAAGTCTGTACTATATTTTTGTTGTTGGTTAAACAGGAATTCAAAAGATTAATGTAGCATGTTCATTACAGCGATTGAGGGGCATTCCACATTGGTAAATTTTTTTGGATGTGGTATGGTCATTTATATTATCGTTCCAACATAATATTTTTCTAACAAAACAAGTTTTCACCGTGTGCCTGCAATATTTGTAAGGCGCACACATGGAAACTTCAAAAATAGTGGAGTGGCCCATAGCTCCATTTCTAGCCCCTTTCTTCGCCGGAGTGTTCATTACTTTATTATATTCCATAAATACGTGTTTCGATATTATTCAAAAAGTAGACTCTGAATGTGATGCTTCCTACCGATACTTTTTCGAGCAATTGAGAAATTTTGTACTTGATACTCCTGAATTGTGCATAATCTCTGATAGACATCAAAGTATTAGAAAAATGGTTTCAATTGTATTTCCTTTAGCTCATTATGGTTGTTGCATGAGGCACTTAGGAGAAAATATTCGAAATAATTTTCACAATGCGAGTGTTGTCTACCACTTTTATAAGGCGGCAAAAGCATATAATATTGATGTGTTCAGTGATCATTTTAATCGGATAAGAGATTTGGTTCCACAGGCTACCACACATCTTGAACGCGTTGGATTTCACCGATGGAGCAAGGCATTCTTTCCCGAAAATAGGTAAAATTTATTATAGTTATTATTGATAGTTGGTATAACTACTGCAGTTTTTTATAGCTACTGCTGCAATTTTTTATAGTAACTGCTGCACTTATTTCAGCACCTGCTGAGAAATATGCAACAATTGTTATAAAAACTATACAATAGTTATAAACACATACTTATAATATATTATTGGACACTTATATATTACAGGTACAATATTATGACGACAAATATTGCTGAGTCGATTAACTCAATATTTCTTGATGAAAGAGAATATCCCATTACTGCTCTATTTGATGCAACAAACAGGCGATTTGCAGAAAAATTTCATGAGAGATGTATGAAATTCATTAATGCACCAACCATCTTCGTCCCTTCGATAGAAAAAGACATTGCAAAAAATATTAATTTGGGGAACAAGCTATTAGTCCATCAAACTGCCAACTACAAGTATATTGTCACCGGTCAAGATGAAGTTGCAACAGTTGATTTGCTAGCCAAATCTTGTACTTGTAAAGTCTTTGACATTGACAAAATATCTTGTCCACATGTTATGGCAGCGCTTTGATGCCAATATGGTGATGACTATGGGAGACGCATTTATGAGTACTCCTCTTCGTATTACAATGTAGAGATATATCTTATTGCATATGTGGAGGAAATTAAACCGGTGCCATCTGAAGAAACTTGGGAAGTTCCTATTGAGATTTTAGAGAGAAAAATATCTTCTCCATTTGTTGAGCCAGACAAGGTTGGAAGAAGGTCCTCAAAAAGACATAAAGGAATCGGGGAATCATTTTCAACGAAGAAAAATAAATGTTCTTTATGCAAAAGAATTGGTCACAAGAGAACTACATGCTCTGAGCGAAATGTTGCATAAAAATACATTTGTTCTTCTTGTTTTTTTGAACATATTTGATCTTATCTTTTTTGGTACTAATTGTTGTTTTTGTTGTTATTATTTGTGAACACATTTGATCTTATCTATTTTGGTACTAATTGTTGTTATTTTGATTGTAAGAGCATATTTTATTTTATTGTTATTCTTATTATTACTTTATTACTTGTAGAGAATTTTAGCAATTGCTACAACAA